TCCTTGATTAATAAGGGCCTTGATCACGGCTCTAGATTACGCTGTCATATTTCTCCTAGTGTTTGGGAGAACTATTTTGGAGAGATTTTCAGCTCTACTACTTTACCTGCTGATACTAGTGTACATAGGCCCCTGCCACACGGCAGGGAAACCACGAGGCAAAAGCGCGGCTAATAGAGCCGCTCCAACGTTGAGACACTGCGGCGGGATCCCACGGATCCCCTGGCTGCAGCGCCTCTTCTCCCGCCGATCCCACGGCCGGCTTGGGGCACTCCAGACGGCTGCAACCACCTAGATAGGTGGTTCGTTTTTGCAGCGGGGGATCGCCATTTGGGCCGGATCAGGGACGGAGACCGCACGCTCCCCAGATGTTGAGGTGGGATCGCGTCCGTTTGCTCCGCCCCTGTTCCGTTCCGCTCCCGTCCCAAATGGGCTCGTATGAACGGGGCCATAGTTTATCAGATAATCTCCCTTCCTGGCCTCCAATAACGGGGAAAGAAATAGCTAGCCTTATTACCAAGCTTAAAACTGGGAAAGCACCTGGCCCTTATTATATACTAAATGAACTCTTTAAGAGTAATATTCTAGGCTGGAGTAAGATCTTGGCTCCCTTTTTTCCCAACATTTGCCATTCTGGCTTTATACCGAAATCTTGGTTAAATTCAATAGTTCCGATACATAAAACAGGTGATTATTCCAAACCTGACAACTACAGACCAATTCGTCTGCTTTCTTGTGTGGGCAAATTATTTACCTCCTATTTATTGATTAAATTACGGACTTGTCCTTATGCCCTCTCAGATTGGTTTTAAGAGCCAGACTTCTACATAGGACAGCACCATAATTCTTGTGCAAGGCTATGAAATGATTGTGAAGTCTAAAATTCCATTCTAAACTAGAAAGGTTGCGAAGTTTGAAAATAAGGTCACTCTGGTCACGTGTTCACGGATTTTTATTTTGGCTACAGTTCCACACCTTTACTATCCAGAGTTTACTAGCTGCAAAGTTTTGCCACTCACCCCAGCAATGTCCTTAGCGTTCCTTCCCATCTCTCCCTCCTCCGTCAGACCTGCATAGCAAAGCCTTCTAACCCCCCCTCCCCCCATATTAGATATTCCGGTTAGACTATCTCACTACTGCAGACTGTGGATAAATAATGATCTAGAAGAGGTTACACAGCGGAGGTGCTTTTGGCAACTTTCCAATGTAAATGACATGGAAATGAGACTTCTGCAAGGCCAAAAGACCCCATTGCAATAGTGTGGCGGGGGAGGGCTTTAGTTAACATAACACTTGTGCTAAATGAAGCAGTTGACACGGCTTTCAGAGGGTAGCGCTGGCGGCTTTAATTTACCATGAGAAAAGGCCCAGCCTCCAATTTAGCCCCGCAGGAGAGAAACTTGCAGTCTCAAGAATGCCTGGCTGGTCATTTTTTTCCAAGCCACTGAAATTTTAAGTGTCAACATTCTGGGCAGTGTTTCATAAATCCTCTTTATACATGATCTCTTAGTGAGATAGATTTCCAATTTTCCTTCACTGTTTGTGTTTGGGGAGCAGGCCACCGGGCTCTGTGAGGTTTGCTGAGATCCTAAGTCACAAAAACCAGAGGGGAAAAGCCCCACGGGTGCCAAAAAAGGATTGTTTTAAAGTCTTTGAATGGACACTGCATTTTGGGGATTTTCCAGCTTTTTTTCAAGGATTTCTTCCTTTTGCAACTCCTTGCAAGGAGAGCTGTTTTTCTTCTTTCTCACTACTTTTCCTGCCTTTCAGTTCTAAACAACAGTAAAATCTGCCTTTCTCTGAAGGAACTGGCAGTGTTGGGCCCTGCCTATCTGCGTTTAGCAGCTGAAGTTTTATCTGGCCTGGCATGAAGAAATGGGGGCGAAAAATTTGCCCTGTGCATTGCTGAGTGTCCAGATGTTATTAAAGAGACAGGAATAGAGCTATTGTTGAAAATAGGTATTTATACCACCACCCCTCTATTCTAGGTGTGTGCACAAAGCCCCCCCAGTATTTTTCAGGTTTGGGTATATCAGACCCCCAAAATATTGTTATATATTGATATTCCTGAATCCCAACATCAGTATTGTATTGGGATTCCAGAAATAATCAGTATCGCTGAAACTATTTGGCTCCATTATATCCTATGGGGACCATAGGGTATAATGGGTACTGGATCCCCAAGCTGCGGGGCTTCCTCCCATTTAAACCAAACAGCAGCGCCTGAAAGGGAGGGCTGAAATGGCTTCCCATGACTTGAGAATGGGAGGCATTTTAAAAGCCCCCCCCCCCGAGTCATGCCATTGGCTGCCATGCAACTCCCAGCAGCTTGGCTTTGCAAAAGCCTTTTAAAGGGAAAGCCAAGCCTCACACGAGGAACCTGGAAGTTTTGTAAGTTCACCCAAAAGGTGGGTGAACTCCCGCCGCTTTGGCAAGTCAAGCTGAGCCAGAATAAAAGCCGAATAATATCAGTTTTTATTTGGGCTCAGCTAGATCGGTAGCTGAAACAGATTAGAAAATCTGATTCAGCTGAATAAATACCTGAAAAATACGATAAGGTATTTTTCGGGTATTTATTTTGCTCGGTTTATACTGAATGCGCACCGCTACTCCATTCTCTGCCTGGTCGCCCATGTTCTCAGTCTGCTTCATGCGTCTGATGAAGTAGCTAGCATGATGTCATGGTTATTTTTAGCCTGTGATCCAGAAGACCCAGGCTTGAACTCCCACTCTGCCATGGAAGCTTGCTGGGTGACATTTGGCCAGTCTCACATTTTCGGCCAAACCTGCCTCACGGGGTTGTTCTGAGGTCAAAACTGAGGAATGAAGAACAATGTTGTCAGCTAAGGGATCCCCAACCTTTTTGAGCTTGTGGGCACATTTAGAATTCTGACACAGGATGGTGGACACAGCACCAAAATGGCTGCCACAAAATGGCTGCTGAAGGAGGCGGGGCCAGCCACAAAATGGTTTCCACAGCTTAACTCCAATAACACAGTGTAGATCCTTGTGCTGTGGTGGGAGCTGCTGCCAAAGCAACATTTTTTTTTAAATCTGGACTGCCAAACAAATCTCCAGTAGTCAATCAGAAGCCATGTTGAGGAAAAGCTCTACCTGGCCCCACCCACTTCCTGAAAACACTTGGCGGACAACAGATAGGTGTCAGCAGGTTCCATGGCACCCATAGACATTGCTTTGGGGACCTGTTATATGCCATTTTGCATCCCTATTGCAGAGAAAAGTCAGGTATAATCTAATGAACTTCCATAGGCTTTATTTATTATTTATTTAGGTTATACCTCACTCTTCTCTGCCATAGGAGCCCAAAATGGATTACAACAGGGTCCAACATTGCCAATTCCTTTTTACTAGCTGCAAAGTTTTGCCACTCACCCCAGCAATGTCCTTTCGAAGGGTCTCAGTAGGTCAGGCAGGCCAGTTCCTGACACTTACCTGGATGGCAATGAAAGCAAGCTGTATTGTTTGATAGTGTTGTGCCTTGGGTTGTCAGATTTTGAGGTGTACAGTTGTATAAATTGGCGGTGAATTATCATAAGAACATAAGAAGAGCCCTGCTGAATCAGATCAGTGGTCCATCTGGTCCAGCATCCTGTCTCACGCAGTGGCCAACCAGTTCCTCTGGAGGGCCAGCAACAGGGCACGGAGACCGAGGCCTTCGGTTGCCACAGTATGTCCTGAAAATCTGGGGGTGGGGGGCGGGATTTGTCTGAAGGAAAAATTCATTGTTCAAACGGCCAATTGCAGTGCCCTTCAGACTGCCCTAGAAAATGATTCGGTATGTCCTGAAAACCTGGGGGGGGGGGATTTGTCTGAAGGAAAAAATCATTGTTCAAACGGCCAATTGCAATGCCCTTCAGACTGCCCTAGAAAATGATTCTAAAGTTTCAGTTGGTACAAAATGCTGCTTCCAGATTTCTTTCTGGGGCTGGTTATAAATAGGGTTGCCAGCTCTGAGCTGGGAGATTTGGGGGATGGAGCCTGAGAAGAGCATGCTTTGGGGAGAAGAGGGACCCCAGTGGGATACGAGGCCCTGAAGTCCACCTTCCAAAGCCACCATTTTCTCCAGGGGAACTGTCATCTGGATATCAGTTGTGATTCTGGGAGACCTCCAGCCACCACCTAGATGCTGGCATCCCTAGCTATGGAGAATGCATCATGCTCAGTTGCATGCCTATTTGCTTCCTGGCTCAGTTCATGGTGCTTGTAATTACCTTTTTAAAGCTTTCTAAAAATGGTTTGGGGACTGGAATAGCTAAGAGTGCATTCTCTTGCATAACAGCTGAGATCTTTAGGGCAAGCTCTTCTCTATGAGTCTCTACCTCTGTAAGTAAGCTGGAGAGACATAAACGGTTTCCCACCATTCTGGGAATACCAGAATGGTGGGAAACCGTTTCCATGGTGGTCCCTCGCTTATAGAACTTGCTCCCTTACAGGTTCACCTGTAACTAGTGTGGCTAATTTCAGGAGCCTGGATAAAATGGTCCTTTGTACCCAAGCTCTTCCTCCCCCCAGTTCCAGCTGTATGAGGATGGTTGGGATTGCTTAATATAGAATGACTCTTTGCACATGCTCAGAGGTGCTTCATTCTTCATTACTGCAGCACGTAGCTGTGCCTCGACAAATAGTCCCATTCTTGAAGCCCCAGATCCTGAAGTCAAAAGCCTGGCTCTCACGAAAGCTTGCTGCTTTTGGTTCAGCTGTCCTTGCGAAAGGTCAAAGCCCTTCTAAGTTTTCTTCAAAGAAATGGGGGCATCCACACTACCATTTTGTGTGCTTATAATGGTTGTCCCCCCGTTCTTAACATGGGCTAAAATTCTAGTCGAGAAGCAGCAGCAGAATGAAAAGAATCTCCCAGGAGATACAGAATAAGCTCCCCGGATCGCTAGCACTAGTGGTGACACGCGCCAAACAAAGGAGCTGGCATTCTATAAATGAAGGAGCGGAGAGGGATCGGCAATTGGCTGGATTGTGAGGAGAGAAGCTCTTGCGTTTTGGAGCGGAGAGGCAGCAAAGTACTAGGAAGAGAGCATCCGACTTTGTTGCATGTGAATGCTTCTGTGAGATCAATTTGTATTGGCTTTGGCAAAGGTAGGTTATAAGGCTTGCTTGTTTTCTTTTTAAAACTAGCATTTGTGTGTGTGTGTGTGTGTGTGTGTGTGTAGAACTTTCCTGAGTGTGCATGCAACACTTTTCCAGGTTATACAGTGGTCTGTGGCACTGCCGTAGTTTGCTGGGGCTCCCTTTTTTACCAACTCTGGTTTTTATGACAGATTCAGAGCATGGGCATCCCTAATTTTAGTACATAGGTGAGTCTCAGCTCCAGCTATGCATGAACTATTGCTGCTTTACAGGTGACTAGAATCAGCAATGAAGTGCAGTTGTGTGTATGCCACTATTTTTGACACAGTTGTTGATATTGTGGAAGCTCTGCCGGCAGTGAAGCAATTCAGTTTTGTTCGCCTGGATTGCGTTTCATAAGAGGAGAACATGTGTTCTAAAGCGCCATGAAATTAAACCAGCCCTTTCTTGAGCTTTGCAATAATATGAACAACTTTTCAAGACTTTTTATCACCCATGGCATTAAAACCATACAGAAACACTTGCATCCGTCTGTTAAAAAATGCTGCCACACTGGAACAGGAGAGCGTTATACTTTCTTCATATTGTGTTACCCACAGCGTGGCATCTCCGTAGTATGGGAAAGCCACTTCCCTAAAATCATAGTTGCTTGACAGTGTTCGGATATTATATGTGTCCTCGCATTTTAGAATGGAAGGTAGTAAATGCGTTGCGTGCCTCTCAAGACATTTTACAATATTAATATAGCTTCACTGAGTATGTCAAAAGGTAGAACTTGAAAGGATATTTACTTGAAAGGAAGATGACTCTGAATGTAAGATGAACTCCCCCAATGTCATACACAAAACAAGAATTTATTACTGAATATAACTGTAAGGCAACCCACCCTTTTGATGGTATACCTGGAAAAACCCCTAGTCTTGCATTTGAATAAATACCATATACATCTGTAACTCTGTTCTCTGCAAGTGCTGTATCAGGCATTCTGATCATAAACATACTATGTGTAAATGAATCATCTTAGCATAGGATGTGTGTGTATTTGGAAGCTGTAGCAGGAGCTCATTTAATTGTCTGAAAGCTAACTTGATGGTTTCAGGCATGCACTTCTTTCCCTGTATGGCATGTTCTTTGAATGTGCATACCTAGGGCACACATACTAGTCTTTGAAAGCACTCCTGTGTGTGTATATACATGATATTTAAAACAGTAATTGTGAAAGATTACAATTCTGGATTTAATTCCACTGGAAGAGAGAAAAAATACCCATAGAAACAACAAGGAAAAAACAATATGAAACGTTCATTCATTTAGCAATGCATTATTACATGAACGGTCATGTGAACTTAATTAGTCCCTAATATATGCACATTTCAATTTCCTTAATATAAATATGTATCCTATTGATAAATGGCATGGTCCAGCTAAGTTTAAGTAGCTTTAAGTGCTATTTGATTTCAGTGGTAGAGGTTTAAGCATATGCTTAATTCTTGAATTTAAATCAATGCGATGTAAGAGCTTTATTCTGGCTGGATCTTGTCCATACTCTAATGGTTGAAAATCTCAGAATTCTTTTTCTTTCTTGTTATATTTTCCTGTGGACACTCCTCTTTAGATTCTAAGTACACTGCATGGTATTAAGTGTTATGTGCTACTTATAAGAAAATTAAAATAACCTTTTAAAATGAACTGTAACCAATGGGTAATCCTCTTTCAGACAATGGCTTTCTTGTCCAGTCCTATGTTTGTAAGTCGACATATTCAGAATTGGGGTCGGACAGTGCAATCTGATGCAGACTGACTCGTCTAAGCCTGATTTCCATGGGCATAGGCTGGAGTTACTCTCTCTCTAAAATCAGTTTGTTAATCTTGGATTACTGCTTATTTGCCTCAATATTCTAATTGGTATGATTGGGGTAATTCTTATATACTAGCAGACTTCATTAGGAGACCCATTGATTTACATGGAATGTAGTCTCATTGATGGCAATGGAAATTAATTTCACCATAATCACCCTAAATCCAAAATTCCACAAAAGCTCTTATGAAGCATTGAATCCGCTGCTCATATTGGAGCTCGATGTGCGTACTGGAGCCTTTGTTATGCGCATTGAAGCCTCTGTACTGGGGATGATGATTATAGTGTTGGCTTATAAATGATGCGAAATGCTAACACCTAAATAAATAAATAGAACGTTTTTGCCATGAGGACACGATATGCAGTGTAATCCTGATCAGATTTTCAGCCATTTACTTTAACAGACTCAAAAGGTCCTAACTTTGTTTATATTGCAATGTAAATGCGTGTTGTGAAAAAAACTGTATGCATAAGGAAATAAAGTTTATTTATACTGATGTAAATAAACTTAAGGGGGCTGTGGTGGCTCAGTGGTTAAGACACTGAACTGCAGACCGGAAGGTCGGTTGTTCAGCAGTTCCAGACCTGAGTGCTGCATGACGGAGTGAGCTCCTGTCTCTGGCCCCAGCTCCTGCCAACCTAGCAGTTCGAAAGCAAGAACTTGCAAGGAGATAAATAGGTACTGCTTTGAAGGAAGGTAACAGTGTTCCATGCGCCTTGGCATCTAGTCATGCCATCCACATGACCACGGAAACGTCTTTGGACAGTGCTGGCTCTTCGGCTTGGAAACGGAGATGAGCACCATGCCCTGGAGTTGGATTCGACTGGCTTTCGAGCAAGGCAAACCTTTAGTAAAGATAAAGGTTCCCTTGCTTGAAAGCCAGTCAAATCCGACTCTAGGGATGTGGTGCTCATCTCCATTTCCAAACCGAAGAGCCAGCGCTGTCCGAAGATGTTTCCGTGGTCATGTGGCTGGCATGACTAAACACCAAGGCGCACGGAACGTTGTTACCTTCCCACCGAAGTGGTACCTATTTATCTACTTGCAATTTCTTGCTTTCGAACTGCTAGGTTGGCAGGAGCTGGAACTAGAGATGGGAGCTCACTCCATCATGCGGCACCCGGGTCTCGAAGTGCTGAACTACTGACCTTCCACAGCCTGCAGTTCAGCGTCTTAACCACTTGAGCCACCGCAGCTCCCAAGGGAAACCTTTACCTTTACCTAAATAAACTTAAATAAAGTTTATTTACATCAGTACACATGAATTCACTGGAGTGAATGCTTTGACAGATTTGCCATAAAAGCAAATGGCCACACAGAGAATCTCTACTCCGTATAGAAGTAAGATTCTTTATTCGATCATATTTTTAAACGAGCCACTTGAAACGGAGCTAAAATTGAAATATCAATGCTGATTTGGGTTATCATACAAAGCATTTAGCCTCTTTTTGTAATGCTATCGTTACAAAGTAAAGGACTTTGTAATACTATCAAGTCTCAGCCAATTTGTGGCCACCCTGTAGGGCTTTCAAGGCAAGAGACGTACAGAGGTGGTTTGCCATTGCCTATCTCTGCAAAGCAACCCTGGATTACCTTGGTGGTCTCCCATACCAGGTACTAAGTAGGGCGGAGCCTGCTTAGAGCCCCAAATCTGATGAGATCAAGCTAGCTTGGGTTCCAGCTCTGGGCCCTAAAGGGCTAGAAGACTTCAAATAGGGATAAATGCAAGCCAGGCTTCAATTAGGGTTGCCCGCTCTGAAGATTTTGGGGGTGGAGCCTGCGAGGGTGGGATTTGCAGAGGGGAGAGATCACAGCAGGGGATAATGCCCTACAGTCCACCCTCCAAAGCAGCCATTTTCTTCAGGGGAACCGATCTTGATTGCCTGGAGATCAATTGTAATAGCAGGAGATCTCCAGGAACCACCTGGACGTTGGCAACCCTAGGTTCAATGCAGAACTTGAATTACAGGTCAAAGATATAGAAAACAGTAACCCAAAACATGCCTCTGAGCATGTACAGTGAACCCTTCTCTTATCACTGAATCAGACTTGTATCTAGATGATGTTACCCTAACGAGGATGAGGGAAAGGGGTGATTTCATTCCATTCTTGTCGTTGCTTCAGTCTCCCGACCATCATACCTCTCAACCAGTGATTCCCATGACCCCCACAGTCAGTTTTTTTGTGGATTGCAGGGAGCCGCAGGTAGCAAAGGGAAGTTGGAAAAATTCCATTACCATTGGCAGAAAGCTGGCAGGGTCTAGCCCTACATCTGAGATAACGAAGGCAGGGGTTACAAATCAGAGGATATGACCAGTCCTGCTCCTGTGCCTCTGTATGGAAGATGATGCCTAGCTTCAGTTGGTACCAGAGCCCTTGTGTGTGCTGTACTGAACAGGCAGAACTGGCTGTATTCTACCCAGAATGGTTTTATGTTGTTAGCCACATGATAGAATTTTTAAATTTCTGTTTTTATGATTCCTTGGTGGTCAGCAATTTGAATTGGTTTATAGTTTTGTTGTTGTTGTTGATGGTGTTGTAAGCTGCTATGAATTGGAAGCAGAGTGTTTTGCACATTTGTATGAATTAATAACGGAGTATTCTACCTATTCTACAGCTACCTATATGCCACCATATATGTTGCACTGTCAGGTGTTTGTTTTTGTGCTTCATTTTTATTTCATTGAAACTATTTAATTAAATTTGGTATAAGTACAGAGTACAAAACAAGTGTTGTATGGTGGGAGGAAACCTTATTCTGTTTCCCTCATGCAAAATGGCACACAGTATCCAAAACTACTGTCCATAGTTCTAGATTTAATGTGCTACTTTCTGATGCAAAACCAAGGAAATACCACAACTTTTATTCCTTCATGAAGAAATGTATGAGCCATAGAATACCCCCATGCTATGTTTCTAGTGAATCTTAAGGTCTGGATCTTACAAACTCCCAGTTGCTAAGGCTCCATCCATCAAAAGCAGCCTCCTCACTTTGCAGCAGGGAATCATAGGATTTCCTGTTGAAATTGTGTTTATGTTTATGAATTTCAATGGCTTCCCTGTGTAATCTGACATCCAATTACCATGTCAGATTACACAGAGAAGCCATTGAAATTCATAAACATAAACATAAACACAAGAAGAGAGTTT